ATACAGTGGACTAATACCTGGCTCCGCCACTGACAATATACACAAAGATAAACAAGAGATAAGTCTTGCTAAAAAAAAAATTAATGCTGAAAATGTGTAACAGCACTGCAGACGATTTTGAAAAGCGAGCTTAAATTTTTTTTTTTAAAAAAAATAAAATAAGTATTAAAATGCCCATGTATATACTCTAATTTTGAATCTTCAACCTCCCACTTTTTTGGTTTGTCCTGTCCATGCCTGAGTAATAGAGGATAGTCACTCACTATCTTATTCTTGTGAGACTGATACAAGCAGACTGTCAGTCTAATACTTCAAATGGGATGAACATTCTTACTTAATTAGCCATTAAATCTTACCTCACATGTTCCTCCATTCTGACATTTATTATGACAAAGTTCCTCTTGAAAAAAACAAGAATTATTAGAATATTAACAATCATTCAGAATTTTATAAGTGTTAGTATGTGCTTATTTACTCATATATTTTAAAATGTATCTATGATAATGATTAATGTATATATAGTTTGCCCATCACTTCTTCTCATTATGTGCCTGAGGACGACGGGGGAAACACGTCGAAACGTTGCATAAAACTTTAATCAGTGATTGTTGTTCCATAAAGCTGTGTCTATATATTGTATCTATGATAGTCTACAAGCTGCGTGACAGCAGAAGGTTATGGAGAAAAATTAGGAAAACCGATTATTTTTATACGCCCACACGTAAGTATGGGCGTATATTGTGGTTGCCCCTGTCGGTCTGTCGGTCCGTCCGTTCACATTTACCTTGTTCTCACTCTACAAGCTACAATTCTCTATAGATTCTTTTGAACTTTTGTATGTGTGTCAATATCATGAAGATGTGCACTATTGAATTTGGTGATGATCCAATGATTTTCTTAAGAGATATCGCATAAAACTCTGATTTCGCGTTCGTTTTTCTTTACTTTTTTGCCTTGTGCTCACTCCACAGGCTACGATTCTCCATACATTCTTTTGATCTTTTGTATGTGTGTCAATATCATTATGAAAATGTGCACTATTCAATTTGGTGATGATCCGATGATGTTCTTGAGAGATATCGCATAAAACTCTGATATTGCGTTGGTTTTTTTCACTTATTTTGCTCGTGCCCAATCTAAAAACTACAATTCTCCAAGGATTCTTTTGATTGTTTGTATGTGTGTCAATATCATTATGAAGATATGCACTGTTGAATTTGGTGACGATCCGATGATTTTCTTGAGAGATATCGCATAAAATTCTGATATCACGTTCGTTTTTTTTTCTCACACCTTTTT